TCCAAGCTCATTCAGGGTGTTGACAGAGTTTAGCTCCTAACGACGCTGGGAATGAAGTCCCATCTTCTTGTTGGTTGTCAACTGGGGGCCTCTTGGAGGTCATCTGCCATTCACTGCCACATGGCTCTCTCCAAGACATGGCAGCTGCCCGTCATGGCCAAGAGGAGAATGTCTCTGCTGCTTTAATCTCTGATTTCCTCAGTCCCTGATCTCTAGACCCAGATTTAAGGGGCTTGTGTGATGAGGTCAGGGCTGCTCAGACAATCTCCCCTTGACTAACCCCAAATCAACTCCTAGTAATATTAATTATACCCTTAAAAGTCCTTTTGCCATATAGCATAGTTCTGGTAGTGATATTTCATGATATTCACTAGTTTCACTCAAAACCCATTCACAAAATGAGTGGAGGGATTTAATAATATAATACAATATAATATATATAATTATATATTATAATATTATGTTAATATTATTATTAATGCATATTATATTTTGTTAAGATTTTATATATATATGCATCAGGTTAAGTTGGTTAATAGTTTTCGAGTCTGTTATTTTCTTCTGGATTTTCTGTCCAGTTTTTCTATCAGTGATTGAGGATAAAATATTAAAAGCCAATATTGCTGAATTCTCCTTTCAATTCTATCAGTTTTTGCTTCCTATATTTGGGGAGCTCTGCTATTAAGTACACATTTATTTAAACTTATTTCTTCCTGCTCTGTTGACCCTTTTATCATTATAAAATATCCCTCTTTCTCTCTAACAATGTCTCATATTAAGTATATTTTATTTCATATGAATATAGCCACTCCAGCACCCTTATGGTTATGGTTTGTGTCTTCTTTTTTAAGATTTTATTTATTTATTTATTTGACAGAGAGATAGAGAGAGAGCACAAGTAAGCAGAGTGGCAGGCAGAGGGAGATGGAGAAGCAGACTCTCTGCTGAGCAGGAGCCGGACGTGGGGCTCGATCCCAGGACCCCAGGACCCCAGGATCATGACCTGAACCGAAGGCAGCCGCTTAACCGACTGAGCCAGCCAGGCGCCCCTGTGTCTTTTTTTTTTTTTTTTATTATTAACATATAATGTATTATTTGTTTCAGGAGTACAGGTCTGTGATTCATCAGTCTTACACAATTCACAGCACTCACCATAGCACATACGCTCCCCAATGTCCATCACGCAGCCACCCCATCCCTCCCTGCCCCCCCACTCCAGCAACCCTCAGTTTGTTTCCTGAGATTAAGAGTCTCCTATGGTTTGTCTCCTTCTCTGGTTTCATCTTGTTTCATTTTTTCCCTCCCTTCCTCTATGATCTTCTGGCTTGTTTCTCAAATTCCTCATATCAGTGAGATCATATGATAATTGTCTTTCTCTGATTGACTTATTTCGCTCAGCATAATACCCTCTAGTTCCATCCACATCATTGCAAATGGCAAGATTTCATTTTTTGATGGCTGCATAATATTCCATTGCGTATATATACCACCTCTTCTTTATCCATTCGTCTGTTGATGCACATCTAGTCTCTTTCCATAGTTTGGCTATCGTGGACATTGCTGCTATAAACATTGGGGTGCACATACCCATTTGGATCCCTACATTTGTATCTTTGGGGTAAATACCCAGTAGTGCAATTGCTGGGTCATATGGTAGCTCTCTTTACAACTTTTTGAAGAACCTCCATACTGTTTTCCAGAGTGGCTGCACCAGCTTGCATTCCCACCAACAGTGTAGGAGGGTTCCCCTTTCTCTGCATCCCCGCCAACATCTGTCGTTTCCTGACTTGTTAGTTTTAGCCATTCTGACTGGTGTGAGGTGGTATCTCATTGAGGTTTTGATTTGGATTTCCCTGATGCCGAGTGATGTTGAGCAATTTTTCACGTGTCTGTTGGCCATTTGGCTGTCTTCTTTGCAGAAATGTCTGTTCACATCTTCTGCCCGTTTCTTGATTGGATTATTTGTTCTTTGGGTGTTGCGTTTGATAAGTTCTTTATAGATTTTGGATACCAGCCTTTTATCTGATATGTCATTTGTAGATGCAAATAATAAAAATTTCTGAACGATGCATTGTCCCCCCTCACTGATGACATGTGCAGACAAGTTTGCGGGTATGATTTCATGCTGTCAAATTAGCTGCCTGCAGGGAAATTCTCAGGGATACTGAATTATTACTCTGGCCTGTCTTTTCTATTCATTTGGGGGGAAAGTGTTTCTCTTAATCACCACTGGATGTCAGTAGAGTTGCATGTGGCAGAAGCTCTGAACCGGGCCATTACTTAAAAAAAATAAGATAAATAAAAAATAAAATAAAATAAAATCTTCCTTTGTAGCAAAGGGAAGAGAAAATAAATGAATACGGTCTAAGATTCTCTATTTAAAGCACTATACAGACTCTCTTGAAGAAATGAAGGATTTTATGAGATTAATCAGTTTCCAAATCCCAGAGGTAGATTGAGATTAAAATTGATTACAGGATCAAGTTGGTGTAGGGGAGTTGGAGGAGAGATGAAAGAAAATAGAAAATAAAACTCAAGTTAACCGAGCATTTTCTATGTGCTAGATATAATGGTAAGCACTTCACACATGTGTTTTCAATATATCTTCATATCTCAAGGTAGAGAGCAGTCTCATTGCACTCATGCTAGAAGGGCATTGCTACTTAGCAGTTATGTTGAACCTCTGATGAGAACTGACTTTGAGTGTTGCCTAAAGAGCTGCCCGCCTTTTCTGAGAAAGGAGTCAAAGCTAGGAGAGGCCCAGGAGGAGCTCTAGCACTAGACATTTTACTGGTTAATCATGATGGAAATGGTGGACACAGTGGAGTCAACCAACTGTGTGTGGAAAGAGAGTGGCCCCATGTAGTTGACAGTCCCACTGGGAGAGTTTCCACTGGGGTGTTCTCAAAGGAAGGAATCATTCTCTCTCTCTCTCTTTCTCTCTCTCACACACATATCCCCTACATTCTTTTAGGCAGAGAAGTGTGTTTTTTATTCTGTGCTCAAATAACACTTAGTGCCCTGTATGGTGCTTCTGTACCTTTACTGTCATCAGTTTTCCCCAATTGGTTACGAATTCCCTGAAGCCAAGGAGTGTATCTTATTCACCTTTGTAACCCTGGCATCCAGCATAGTGTCTGGTACCCCCAAAGTTCCCATAAATGTTGAATATCCATAATAAGCAAATAAATAAGAGAAATGGTGTACATATGTGTGTGTAGGGAGGAAGGACAGAAGAAAGGGAGAAGACAATGAGGAGAGAGTTTGAAGAAAGAGCTGAAAGCGAAAAGCAACATTCTACTCTCAGAATGAAAAAATAGAATGGGGAAACTGAGCATCAGATCTGACACAGTGGGTATGACCCCTGACATAGTGGGTCAGGGCAGGGAAAACATGAGAAAATCTTTCAAAGAAATGGAGCTTATATAAAATTAGGAGAAGTCTTGAAAGACCAGCGTGTGTGTGTGTGTGTGTGTTGAGGCTTAACATTTACACTGGAACAATTGTTCTTTCTTATTTTGAAATCAGAAAAAAATATGAACTGGCTATCTCTTAATAAATATTTTAGTTAGCCTTTGTTTGCTTGTTTCGTTTGAATAGTTGATGAGGGAGAAAGGAGTTCAAATTTAGGTTTATATCTATCATTGTTGACTTACTCTGTATTTAAAAGGAAAAGTAAAAAATGAGTTTCCAAAAATATGTAATGATGATTTTGTGATATTTATAATAAATATATATTTAGTCTTCCTTCCAGTTCCTGACACAAATCTGGAATTTCCTAAGTTACAGAGCGGTAAAGATGTATCTTTTTATGTTAATGAGTTGACTTTGGGAAAGCCCTCAGGGAACCTAAGGATAGGTAGGGGAACCTCCCCAAGCAGAGGAACCAACCTTATGATTAGAGAATTGGAACTTTCAGTCCACCTGCCCCCCCGACATCTGAAAAGGAGAGAGGGGCTAAAAATTGAGTTTAATCACCAATGGCTGATGATTTAATCAATCGTGCATATGTAACAGAGCCCCCATAAAATGCCAAAAGGATAGGATTAGGATAGCTTTTTGGTAAACCCAGGGAGATTCAGGGACTGTGGTGTTCCACAGCCCTTCCTATTCCTTGACCTCTTTTTCTCTTCCATATGGCTATTCTGGAGTTGTATCCTTTTATAATAAACTGGTAATCTAGTAAATGAACTGTGTCTCTGAGTTCTGCGAGCCACTCTAGCAAATTAATTGAACCAAGGAGGGGGTCTTGAGAACCTCCATCTGTAGCCACTGAGCCCTTTGATGCTATCTCCAGGTAGATAGATAGTGTCAGCATTGAGTTAATTGCTTGGTGATGTCGAAAAACACACACATCAGAGTAATCCAATAAAGATTTTATTTTGAAGCCAATTACTTACACAGCTCCTGAGATTTAATTGTAGGGGGCTTGTTTGCATGCTGTAATGAGGATAATCATGTGATGCAACACTAGTGTACCATAAAAGAGTCTGAACACCACCATTACTCAGTTAACTCCTGTTGACAATTAAGGAGGACAAGAAAGAGTTGTCTCTCTTACTTCACCATGACCCCCGAATCACACAATTCTGTCTAGTTTCTTGGGAAATGTCTATTTGGCAGTCTAGGCAATGGTAATTTACACATTTGTACTTTTCCTAATGGCAAATCAAGAGACCCCCATTGAACACATATATTCAATAACAAGAAAACAAAGATATATATTTTTTTCCTACATCTTGTTTATTAAATAATTTAGATAGCACAAGCTGAATATTGCTACAATTTGTGTCAAAGAAAAACAGAGCATTTTACAAAGTTTAATGAAACATGTTATGTCTTTGTGGTCTTTTAAATTACAGCATCCTTTTAAAGATACACATTTTCAATGTTCATTATATAAAAGCCTACATTTCAGAGAATTCAAACCGCTTTCTTGAGTTTCTTTGGTTGGTTTTTATATATCATCATAAAACCAAATTTCTGCTGAATAATTTCCCCTAGGAAGTCAATAGTTCTTCATATCCAGGGTCAGAAAATGCTTTTGCGGGTATGCTGGATTTATTCTTGTAACTCTGAGGCAGGAAAAGCACACTCTAAAAGAAACAAAATATGTAAGTTCTTCAGATGCTTGTTCTTCATACGTTAGTTCTTCAGACTTTACTCAGGTACACGCTTGATACCATTTCCTCCATCTTTGTGTATATATATACATTGTATACAAGATGAGTATAGTATGTCATTAAGTTCTTCAAATAAGTGCTGCTCATCAGCTCAATATTCATTCTGCTTTCTGTAATACAATTTTGGATAAATCAAGGCTTTTTAATTCAGTGAAATGAAGCCATGAGTCTGTGGTGGTGGTAGGGTGCTGTCCCATGGAATTTGAAACAACTATTTTTTAAAAGTATCTTTTAGGTGAAAAAAGAATTTTAAGATCACAGGAAGGCAACAACAGAGCATAAGGACATTTATCAAATCCAGTCATGTGTGCAAATGCCCTTGACCAAGTCAAGGCTGTTAGGGAGGCTAGGGCTATGGTAGAAAGTGTTCCTGTCTGGAAAAGACACAACCCAAGTTCTAGGGACCTGACTGAGCACAAACTCATACACAATGTTGGGTAAGCCATTTAACTTCCAGGTTTCTGCATTTACAAAATAGAAAGATTGAACCAGTCGATTTCCAGGTTCAACCATCCCATTTGGTTAACCCTCAGCTGCTGGTCAGCTACTCAATTGCCATCCGCTTTCCTCATCAGTCTTCCACCCCCCATCAAGCTGTCTCCCATGTATATCTCGTGACCGACAACTGCCGACCCTTCTGCCACTCTTGCTCAACACAGCCCAGAACTGGAGATACACCTGGCAGGATTCAGGGAGGCCGGCCAGCACACTCACCCCAGCGAAGTCAGAGTAAGCCTGTTTCCACCAAACCACAGCAGCGAGCACGGCCATGCAGAACTCCAGCACCGTGCAAATCAGCATCACAGACAGAGTTCCCTGAAATTCAGGAAATACAAGATTGGCAGTGCTTGCATCAACCGACACCTTCATGCCTTGTTCAGTGTTGACCGTAGAGGTGAAGACCGCCTCAGCCACCAGAGGATGAAGGAAGAACATCCTCAGCAAGAGAACAATGCTCCTTCCTAGCCTAGCAATTGGCTTCATTTAATCCCTTTGCTTATTTATTCCCTTGAGAGGGGGGATGAGCAGAACTACATCAGCCATATAACCCACTTTGTACATTGTTTCCTATCCCGCTGAGACATAGCAACATCCGATTACATTGTTCACTCAGTGAGTGACACAATAACGCCCAAGACTGAGATGGGACAGCCTCCATTCTGGCCTCACCTCTGCCACTTAGTAGCTGTGTGAGCCTGAAGTCTCCACATTTATCAAATGTACAATGAGATTTCCTTCTCAGAGATACCTGAGAATCAATGAGGTTTTGACCTCACTGGTGCAAGCCCTTTGTAAAAGGCTTTCTTAGCCTTTCTTGATGTCGGTAAGAGAAAGAAAATCAAAGCAATAAACACAGCATGAACCATGCTGCCTCCATTACTAACAACCCACACCAACTCAAAAAAGATATTATGCCAAGAGACTAGGTTCTACCATTTCTGTCCCGAGTCATCTTTCATGCAGACCCAGCAACCTGATAGACCAGGAGAGAAAATGTGATTGCACAAACCTCTAGTCTACTTATGTACAGTTCAAGAGGAAATACAACTTGTTTACACTAATTAGAAACTGTCCCAGCAAGCATGTGCAGTATAATCCCTTTGTTTATAAAGCAAAATTATCCCTCAGGAATTCATACTTTATCCATTCCACAATCCTTCCCAAACTTCTCTCCAGAATTTTTCCCAAGATGGGGCTGCCTCCCCCATGTGTTGGTTTATGCCAATTACTATCAACCTTTGCATGTACTTTTTCTCATTATAATATCAAGAACCTGGAGAGAAGCGCCTGCGGCCAGGTCCGCAAGGAATGGTGTGCAAGTGCATGCTTGACCAGCTCTGTCAGCATCTGACCATCCTCCAGCTGTGGCCTTGATGTAACTCACTTTTGTGGTTGTGAGACAACAGATACTCCGCAGCCTCTTTATTCTTATGTGCCTGTGTCTTTCCTAGTGTTTTCTAACCATACACATACACTTTAATGCTCCAACTGAAGACATTCTTTCTTTTTTTATTGTTATGTTAATCACCATACATTACGTCATTAGTTTTTGATGTGACATTATTTCTATTAGCCAAACTTCATTGCTTTCTTTTTTCCAATAATGACAATCATAATCAGTTCCCATTCTCCATCTTTCTACGTCTCTTATTTCCCAATTTAATAAGTCCCACCGCTGGAAGCTTTCACAAACAACAATGATGCTGCCTTCTCCCCTGATCAATCCTGTTCATCACTGTGGTACCCGGAAGGAGAAGGAGCCCTCACCTCTGAGGTCATATTTCCTACTTTCCGCTTCTCGGTGCTGGGCCCAGTGTCCACTCAGACTGAGTTAACACCGCATCACACATACTTTCCATGTTTCTTGACCACTTGGGTCTTCCTGCTGTCTTTGTCTTTCTTAAGTTACCATTCCATATGCCAAGATTTTTGATTGGGCAAACTCCTATCTTATACCTCTAACAACAGAATTACTTTGATTATTAAGAAACTCTATCAACAGTAAGTTTTCATTTTTCATCATCAACTTGATTTGACATTTACTCTTCCCTTCCATCTCACTGGTATGTAACTCCAGAACCTAGCCCCTTCATCTCAGTCAAGCAGTCCCCTCCTGTTCGCATAGCCCTGGCTTTCCCCCAGATGCCCAAACCAGAAAGAATTAGACAGATCTTCAAAATAAGGGATAACAAAAGTCAAGGATTTCAGAAACCTCGTAAGATTGGAAAACCTATCTAAAAATACTTACAGCCAGAGTGGTTTTGGCCATGAAACAGTCGTCCTTAGCATATGGGTGCAGATAATGGAAAAGTGAATACCCTTTAGGTACTCTGTCCTCTCTGTTCAAGTCACACTTCCAAAAGGCAGGATCCAAAGCAGCCAGGTTGACAGAGAGGAGAATAAAACCCACAAGAGCACATAGAGAGCTCAGAACATTTGCAGCCACACTGCTTTGAGCCTGAAAGACAAAGGCTGAGTAAGAATCACTGTCAATGAGCAACACATACCTCTTATCCCTCTTTGCCAATGCACTGCAAAAAATTTATTTTCTTATCTGTGTCCCTCAGGGGATCTAACGTTGGTAGACTTAAACCAGGATGTCTCCCCAGTACTTAGCAACATCTCTGAACCTAGAAGATAAATCTTGGCTAAGTGAATGAATATATGAAATGTTTCTCCCTAGGCAGGACTTCAGTAGGTGGCAGAGACTATTGCTCTTCTAAATTCTCTACTTGGGACTGAGAGCAGGGCTCCATGAGGCCGTGCCTGCGAATCCCCAAAAGAGTATGACCAAAGGCAGTTATGATTTCTCTCTCCCCCGACTCATTCAGAAACCCCTTGAGGAAGCCATCGGCCACACAGAAGAGGCAGATGAAACAAGCTACTCCTCCTTGCACACGACCCTCTTAAATACAGACACACTCCCAAAGATGAGTGTGGGAACATAGTCCTCAGGCTTAGGTGAGCACTGGAGTGGACAGGCTCTGGTGGTCACAGGTCCCCATATGAATGAATGTAGCCAGAGTTCTAGCCCCAGGCCCAAGGATGGTATAACATGCTTGCAGCAGTGTGAGGTAAAAGATCAGACTGGATGTCAGGAAACTCAGATCCCAGTGGTAGCTTTGCCTGAGACCCTCTCCATTTTCTGGAGTGCTCAGTTCTCTAATTTCACTTCCTTCTCTGGGTTTCATTTCTACATTTATAGGGTGAGTGAGGGGAATAAATAAAATGATCTCAGAAATGTGTTCCCTTCTACCCCAATTCACAGAAGGGGGAATTGATCTAGGATTATCCCAAAAGCTCTATTTATGGGTAAGTGTAGTTCAGGGCACACCCAATAGCCATAAATTAGAATATTACATAATCCCACCCAGGTTGCTCCTCCTTTAGGGGCTCAGCAGTTGGAGCTTTGGGGGCATGGTAGAGAATAGGCAGGGTGTTTTTCTCCTCCTAACCCCAGTTTCCTAAAATAATGACTAAAGTGTATGCTCCTGGGCCTCCTGATAGCCAGCAACAGTCATGATTTCCAGAGGATATATTTCTTAGAATGATTTAGGTTTGTTCTGGGACAGCATTCCTCCCCAGCCCGAAAGGGCTGGTATAATGTGTGACCACAGTAGAATTCACTAAAGGATAGATGACTCTGATGAGCCTGAGCCTATCCCAAACCCACACCCCATATATCCTTGAGTTTGCTGCCCTATTCACTCTGGTATTGCTCTTCTCTGGGGTAAGAACAACATAAGCTTCCCCCCAAAAATCTAGAAATATTATTCTTGTATTGTGCTACCCAATGTGGTTGGGTAGCACCCATGAGTAGCCCCATGGGCTACTCATATTTAAAGCAAACTCAAGTAAAATTTAAAATTCAGTTTCTCAATTTCACTAACCACATTTCAAGTTACCAGTTGCAACATGTGACCACCAGCCCGGGCAGCATGACTAACTGATTCTCTATCGTCATAGGAAGTTCTACTGGACAGCGCTGATCTAGAAGTTTAGAGGCTAGATGAAGGTTCCAAATGATCAGTCTCTAAATTCTGATAAAAAAAAGAGATAGATTGACATTATCCTTGAGCACTCTCTCTAATTTCCTGCCGTCTTCAGGAAATGTTTGTAAGCAGAGCTTCCAAATTGCATTTCTGTGCTACTGTGTTATATGACATTCTCACCCATGACCCTCAATATCAAACTACTTGAGGGATCTAGGATTGAGTGAAGACTTAGTGAATATTTACAGATTAAAAATCTCCCTATAATGTAGCTTTCCTCTCCCTGCCACTCCCAATTCTGGTTTTCCTAGAAGAGTTAAATGCAGGTAAAGTTGTTTTCTTAACCAATACCAATGACTAATGACAACTTTTAGGACCTGAGAGTTCATATTCAAATCTAAGAAAAGTATTAATTTTTAGATCGGATAGATAAAAGAATGAGAGAGAAGTCGGCACATAAATAACATTTTGACTGGGTTTTCTCAAGGGTTTGGACAGATGGGCTTACACAGTGAATCCACAACAAATAGATCTCTTTATAACATTGTCACCTTCTTTGTCATTGAAGATCTGAAATTGAAGGCCAGTTACCATTAAAAGGACATTATAAGGAGGCAGACGTTTTCTAAAATAGATTCCTGGGTACTGATTTAGGGCATAGTACAACCTGATGAAGAGTGTGATTTAGGGTACATGGTTGGAGGAATGTGTACTGGGCAGGAATATCTATGAGCCAGGCTCAGTTCCTGACTCTGCCAAATATCTGCTCTGAAACTTAGTTTCCAACTCTGCAAGGTAGAGAGATTGACCTTGAAGAGTTATTCAGTTTCATTTCAATCCATGAGTTGGGGGTTTTGGTCCTCATACTCACCAAAGGTTTAGTTGACTTTTTCTCCATGATGATTGCTAGAATTCCAGAAATGACAAACTACTCAGAAAGGAGAGACAAGGACGCCTGGGTGGCTCAGTTGGTTAAGCGACTGCCTTCGGCTCAGGTCATGATCCTGGAGTCCCGGGATCGAGTCCCGCATCGGGCTCCCTGCTCAGCAGGGAGTCTGCTTCTCCCTCTGACCCTCTTCCCTCTCGTGCTCTCTATCTCTCATTCTCTCTCTCTCAAATAAATAAATAAAATCTTTAAAAAAAAAAAAAAGAAAGGAGAGACAATGGTGAGGTCAGTTTCTATGTAAAGGTGAGGCTACAATGTTATTATTGTGGTGTTTATGGGAAACTCCTATGGAAACAGTCCCAGGAAACCTTTGACCAACAATGTAAGACCCAATTAATTACATAGATATTACTCTTTTTCCCACAGAGTATTCAGAAAAGCATGAACAAAAGCAAACATAAGTAGGAATCTATCCCAGTAAACAAAATGAGGGCCTTAAGAGCCAGGAAAGAAGGTGTTTTTTAAATGACAGAAGAAAGTTTTGGAGTTAGACATTATGTAGAGAAAAATATGAAAGCAATGGTATGGAAAAAGAAAAGAGGGGGGCAGTTAACAGATACGGGAGGACAGAGAAATATATTTTAAGTTGGTGGTTCCCCAGCTTAGGGTGGAGTGGCGGCTGAGATCAGACAGAAGACAAGGCTGGATGCAGTGAATCATTAATGCTGTGTTCCGAAAGTCAAAGATACTACTTTACAATATTCATAACCTAATAGATTTGGGACAGTGAAGTAATAGAAAATCCTTTAACAATGGGGAAAAAATGGGACAAAACAGAGAGAAGAGAAAAGTTGTAGATCCTACAGCCCCAACATTAAGTACTTTAGGTCTGCCTAAATAAAGCCTGTCTTCAAAATCGGAACGAGGTGCCTCTACCAATGTGGGCTGTGCTTCATGATTTGCTCTCAAAGAGCAGAGTATGGAAAGAGGGAGAAGAGGAACCTGCCGACTCTACCTCAGCCTCAGGGTCAAGGTTAACGTCATCAGTGACAAATCACATTGATAGCATATGCCCTTGTAGGACACCTCACCTCTCTCCCTTCCACATGAAAATCCATCACAATTAGTCTGACCATGAGAAAAAAAATATCAGGTGAACCCAAATTTAGCAACATGTTAGAATTCAAAAACTCCTGGCCAGTGCTACTCAACATCCTCAGGGACAAGTGTGAGAAAGTATAGAGGAGCCGAAGGAGACACAATGATTAATGTAATGTAGTATCTTTGATGGGATCTTGGAATAGATAACAGGACAAACTTGTGAAATCCTCAAGGATTTCTTCCCACCTCTCCTCACCCAATCTCCGCCTAATACCCTGTCCTTCTAAGGATCTCACCTCACACACAAGGCTCCTACGAATGGGTAAGTGGCCTTCAACAGGGTGGAAAGCATTGGGGTAAATTGTGGAGAGGAAGGAACAGATACCAAAATAATTCCCAAACTCAATACCATCACCCCACACAGGATCTGGATGGTCTGTTGGGAGAAGGGAGATGGAGGATTAAAATCAGCATTTGGAAAGGCAAGGCATCTTTATCTCTCCCAGGGTGCTCGCACATTATCACTCTCTGCAGGACCCCGGCAAGGATACAGACATTGAAAAGCTCTAGAGTGAGAACCCTGCAAAGGTATTTGGAGGAGATGCTGCTGTGCCGCACACAACTACCATCTCGGGGCACCTGGCAAGTGCTCAGCAAGTCTTCAGGCATATCTGCCTCTCCGCCCTTGTCTGGCTGCCAGCTCCCTGAGAGACTGTTTCCCCCGGCTCTCTGATTCCGTTGCTGCTAATTTTCCTTCTACCTCTTATGGAACAGGGGGCATCTGAAAGCCCTCACACTGTCTTAGCCCTGGTGGTGTGGACGTGCCTCCTTACATCCCACAGACCCTGCTGGACACCACAGAGAGCCTGGCCCTCTGGCCAGCTCCTTGACCCCTCCAGTCCATGTCCCTATAGCTGAGGATCTTGGCTTCCAAGTGGCCAAGTTTTCCTCCTTGACATCCACCTCAGATATTTATGACTTTGTTAACATTTACCGAGCCAACGTTTTCCAAACATTATGTCCACGAGCCTCATAGAAATCCACAGGATCGTGTATTGGAGACAAGGCAATCGTTCCCACTGAATTCTTTTTTTTTTTTTTTAAAGATTTTATTTATTTATTTGACACAGAGAGACACAGCGAGAGAGGGAACACAAGCAGGGGGAGAGGGAGAGGGAGAAGCAGGCCTCCCGTGGAGCAGGGAGTCCGATGCGGAGCTCGATCCCAGGACCCTGGGATCATGACCTGAGCCGAAGGCAGACGCTTAAGGACTGAGCCACCCAGGCGCCCCATTCCCACTGAATTCTGCAAACTTAGATCATATAAGTGCAGAAACAATTCCAGAAGGCAGAGCTCTGTAGTTCCCTCCCAGTCCTAGGTATATCCTTCCCTCCCTCCCCACTTTGCTCCACAGAGCTTCTTTAATAAATCATGCACAAGAGGAGAGAAGCTGGCAAAAGACAAATATCTCTGTTCTCAAAAGGGAAGGAGAAAAAAGGGGAAGGAGGTTTATTTTTCCTATAATTTGTGGTGAGGGAAAAATTCCCTTCAAAAAAAAAGTCAGTCAGAGTACCAAGCATGCAGCTGGTGAACACAGAAAAAAAAGTACCTAAAATATGTAATTATTTGCCATTACTTTTGTAAAAAAAAAAGATGTACAGCTTTTTGTATGTGAATTATTCCTCAATAAGGTGGTTTTTTAAAAAAGAAAATGTTGAGAAGCGTGCTGTTGCAAAAATACAGAAACATCAACAAAAAGTCAATTCTGAGGGTTGCTGGAGTGGTGGGGGGTGGGAGGGATGGGGTGACTGGGTGATAGACACTGGGGAGGGTATGTGCTATGGTGAGCGCTGTGAATTGTGCAAGACTGTTGAATCACAGACCTGTACCTCTGAAACAAATAATACATTATATGTTAAAACAAAAAAAAAGAAGATAGCAAGAAGGGAAATATGAAGGGGGGAAACCAGAGGGGGAGATGAACCATGAGAGACGATGGACTCTGAGAAACAAACTGAGGGTTCTAGAGGGGAGTGGGGTGGGGGATGGGTTAGCCTGGTGATGGTGATTAAAGAGGGCACGTGCTGCATGGAGCACTGGGTGTTATGCACAAACAATGAATCATGGAACACTACATCACAAACTAATGATGTAATGTAGGGTGATTAACATAACAATAAAAAATTTAAAGAGGGAAAAAAAGCCAATTCTCAGATTCAGAATAGGAGAAATACACTTTTCATATCATCTTATGTCTGGGGAAGATTCAGATGGCCCTCCAGGGAGCTTCCACTGGTCTGCCCATCAACCTGGAGTTCCTCTGGCAAAACTTAAGAGCCTCCATACTCATGATGTAGTCCCAAGACTTCAGTTCCTTTCCTGCGCCCCCTCCCCATCCCAGTCCAGCAAGTTCTGAATTGGACTTACCCCAAGAACTTTGACATCTGCCTTTAGATGTTTCTCTAGGCTGTCTTGCCTCTGGTTGGTGGGTTTGGGTTCCTCTGTTTGGGGGAAGTTGATGCAGTTTGGTGTCAGAACTATGATGGTCTGATTGGCCATGATTGTGATATGATGGTACCACCAACACTGGAAGAGAAAATAAATTCAGCTCTTAAAAAGCATAGAGGTCTTGAGTCTCCCCAAACTGGGAGCCAGTATTTTCTCATTAGTTCTGACTTAACCTATCCTTTCAGGAAGGAAACTGATAGCATGGAGCTGTGAAAACCACAAAGATTTGGTATCATGAATACTTTTTTGCACAGCATTTGACACAGTTCATTCATTATAGATAAGAGACACATCACAGCGAAGCAGCAACACCAACCATGAGAGGTCTCAATGTCCAGAGGCAAATGGTCACAAAAACTTGCAAAATGTAGAAATCTCTTTCCTCTAGTTCTACCCACAACAATTGAATTGCCTATTCAGGTTCTGCATATCTCACACTAACTCTGTTCATTTTTTAGTCCAATCATAATACTTACCAGGGCTAACCCTAGGTATTTTTTATCGTATTTTACTGGACATTATCCTGTAATGCCTTTTTTTCTTTTTTTAAAGTAAGCTCTACATCCAATATGGGACTTGAACTCACAACCCTGAGATCAAGAGTCACATGTTCTACTGACTGAGCCAGCCAGGCGACCCCATCCTATAGCGCCTTTAATCTTACACCAACCCTGTATGTTAGTTCTTTAGTTAGCAAAACCATGTCATATTTAGGGAAACTCAGAATCAAAAAGTTTATTATGAATGGAAATAATACTCACTTTGCATATATGCATGGCAAAGAGTTAATGCTGAAGAAATATTTGCAGTTATAATGATTACTCAGGCACGCTCACACAATTGGGGAGCTGTAGAACCGGGGCTGGACCCCAGCTCTCTCTGAGTCTCTGGAGCCTTCGCACAATTCACTAGAGCATGCGACCTCTTCGTCCGCCCCCGCCCCCCAGCAGGAGCAGCCTGCGCCTGCGCGGATTCAGTTTGGAGAAGCAGCAGCGCGCAGAAGTATGGGAATAGGACCTGAAGTCATGAAACCAAGGTTCAAGGCCCAACTCTCTGCTTGCCTCAAGGACCAATACCTGCGATGTTTATTAGCTGTATTAGCTGTATTAGCGGCGAGCTCAGCTTGGATATCTGTTCGGGGCACCATTCTCAGCCCAGGGACTGTCCAGTTTGCACAGGGCCCACGAACATCTAAAGGGGTAAGAACTGTGCTCCCATTAATCACATGACCTCAGGTAAAGGACTCATCAAGATGACACAGAAAACAGCAGAAAGAGTTAAACCAGATACTCCTTCTCTCTGCTCGCTCTATTTCCAAAATACTCTGGTGCCTCTTAACTTCTTTCCATGAGCTTCCAACCAAATATCCCCTCTCAGGGAGGCACAACAGGGGCGTGGGAAGGTGAAAACAATCTCTCAGCACTGCCCACTTGTGCTTGTGGATCAGCCTGTTGGTTCCAGCTGAGTGCTCACAAACTCCCAGGAGATTGTAACTCTGGGTTCTCACACATTCCTGTAGATTTTTCTACTTGCCTTCATATTTTGAAAGTCACCAGCCCTTCCTTAGTCCAGAGTTTACAGCCACACACAGGATGTGATACTTAGAGATTGTAGATTTGTGAAATGAGCTTGCACTTCGTTTTTTTCCAAACTCCTAGCATCTTCAGAAAAGTCACAAGTAGAACCACCTCATGGCTGGGAGAACGTGGAATTCCTGGAGCTCTATATGTGCATTGTCACCCCAATACTTACTAGCTCTGTTATTAAACAAGTCTATGTTCTTCTCTGTGACTCAGTTTTCAAATCTCTTTAGTAGGGAAACAATATCAACACTGGAGATTTGTTATAAAGTTTAGAGAAAATGTTTATAGAAGGCCTTTACTGCTTCCAAGGAGCATTCGATAATATGTAGCTAATAATAGTAATAATAGAATATAGAAAGAAAATTTTTTTGTTAGTTATGTATATTTTTTTTTTCCAGTTCCCCAGGCTCTGGACAGGCTGAACCAGCCTCTCAGCACCCGCTGTCTAGATGCTGCCTGCTACAGAATTGTCTTTCATCTCTGACCTCTCTCTAGCAATAGATCCCTGTCCCCTGGACAGGTTGGACACCTCTAGGAAGTGGTGAAACCAGAGAGGGGTGTAGTTGGGGAAGAAGGACCTTCACAAACTTCACAAACTCACACTTGGGACAGTTTTGAGAAAAAGATGGGTCCTGTGCACCCTCAAGCCCTCAGGTGGTTGTTTTTTGGAAGCCGACTTTGATACACCAGACAAGGGTACGAGCTCAGAGCCAGTCACAGAAGCCGAACAGCCCCATCCCGCAAGCTTCTTCCTTCCCTTGGGAGAGTGCCAGAAAGAACCTGGGAACACAGCTGGACAATCACTGTCACCTCAGGGGGCCGTGGGTTCTGCACTTAACTCCATCCTTCAAAGAAAAGAATTGGGGCGCCTCGGTGGCTCAGTTGGTTGAGCATCTGACTCTTGATCTCGGCTCAGGTCTGGATCTCAGGGTCATGAGTTCGGGCCCTTCGCCAGGCCCCGAATTGGCCTCCACTCTGGGCATGGAGCCTACTAAAAAAAAGAAAAAGAAAAAAAAAAAAGAAAAGAATTAAGAAACAACATTAAGTTTGGCATAGTTCCCGGGACAGATGGCACAGATTACTAAATGCAATTTGTTTTTTCTGAAATTCTAGAGATGAGTCTGAGAGAGGGAACAGCCTTGCCCAGAAGCCGTGGGAGAGCTACAGAAGAATCTCTACCCTCTCGCTCCTGGGCTTCCGGTGCCCCTTATCCTTTCCCAAGGTGCCTGCTGGCATTTTCCCATCATGCCCTGTGCTCTTTTCACCATCCCAGCAGGCAGTAAAATAGTGGGGTATAGCTCCCTCCTGGGCTTTGACAAAGAAGGAGCCCAGCCCCATAAGGGACAACATCTTTCCCGTCAGTGGAATGTGCTAATAACCAATTAAGTCTATCGACCAAGCAAAGATTCCCTCTACAGTCTGTCTTCCTCTCTATATTATTATAACTTTAAATGATCTCAGAGGATTTATAAGGATTGCCTGAGACGACACTTGTAAGGTGCTTGGTACAGAACCGTGCAGACTAGTGGCCCCAAAGGGGTCTATTAACGGTCTTCCCTCAACACTCACCCCACCCAATTTCCCAATTCCAATCTCCCGCCCTGCTTCTCTTTCCCACTCTGCATCCTCCACCTTCTTTTTCTTTTCTTTTGGGCTTCAGTAATATCTGAACAAGAGGCTCCTCTCTCTGTTCTCTCAACTTAGACCCATCCCACCTTGACCATCTGTTGTTTCCAGAGTCCGAACTCTGCCAACCCAACCTGGAGGGAAAGGGAAAGGAATGACACAGCAGTTAACACTTGCGGTTAATAATTTAAGACAGTGTTTGTCTGAAGAAGCACTAATGACATTTTGATTTGGATAATTTTTTTGTTGCAGGGCAGGGGGGGTCCTGTCCTGTGCACTACAAGACGTTTAACAGGATCTCTCGCCCCTACTCACTAGATGCTAGAAACACTGTCCACCCCAGATGTGATGTCACCAGATAGTGCCAAATGTCCCCTGATGGAGAGGGGACAAAATTGAGAACCACTGATCGAGAAGCAAAAAGTTTTTCTGTGACTTCTGTGTAAAGGCAAGCATGCAAGAAACAAATCATTATTGTTCTTTAACTATTAATTTCTTTAGTTTTTATTTTTAATTGTAATTAAAAAAACCACATGAAGTGGTTTTTTTAATTACATCACCTTAGCCATTTTTAAGTATACAGTTCAGTAGTGTTAAGTATGTTCACATTACTGTGCAACAGGTCTCTAGAACTTTTTCAGTTTTTTGTAAAGCTGAAGCTCTATACCCACTGAATGATAATTCCCCATTTCCTCCACCCTCAGCCCCTGGCAACCATCATTCTGGCTCTGTTTCTAGGACTGTGACTACTTTAGATGCCTCACAACCATAGAATCATATCTTGTTTGTCTTTTTCTGACTGGCCTATTTCACATAGCATAATGTTCTCAAGTTTCATCCACATTGTAGCTTGTGGTAGGATCTCCTTGTTGTTGAAGGCTGAATAATATTCCATTGTATGCATATACCACTTTTGGCTTATTCATTCATCTGCCAATGGGTATTTTGGTTGTTTCCTTGGCTGTTGTGAATAATGCTGCCATAAATGTGAGTGGGGAATCTTTTCGAGATAAGCTAATTCATAGCTCTCCTTTTCCTTAGGGTCAGTTTCTAAAGATTTAATTTGGTTTGGTTGGGCCATGCTTTCCTGTCTCTCTATGTCTTGGGATATTTTGTTGAGATCTGGCCATTTGAAAAAAAAAAAAAAGCTACCTCCTTCAGTCTTTCAAACTGGTTTCATAAAAGGGAAGACCTTTGCCAATCAACATGGCTAGAGATTCTGGGGACCTTTTCAGCCTTTTCTGGGGATGCGTCTGCTCTGGGCATGTGTGTGTAAACCTTCCGGTTAAAGAGGTCTGCCTGCTTCTTCTCTGAAGCGCACACTTTATCTTCCCCTGCATCCTTCTGAGGTACCACAGTCACTCTGGAGCTGTGACAAGCCACAGTGCTTGCTTTGTTCTTAGCGACTCCCAATCTCACATCCAAACTGTGCCAGTTTCCCTCAGCACTCCAAATCTGTGAGACAGAAACCGATCCTTCCAGTAGCCCCTCGAAAATCCAGAATGCTGGACGCATGCTCTGTGCCTCCACTCATCTTTCTCTCCTGAGGAAAAAGCTGGAGTTGGGAGTTTTGTCCCAATCGTATCACACTGTGTCAGGGTGGGTAATGCACTTAGATGCATCTCTTCTTGGCTTTGTGCTTTCTTAGGATGCTGTGACTTCTTAACTGGTTTCCAGAGGGCTCACAAGGCAATTTGGTCCATATATTGTTAATATGGTGTCTCCATGGGAGAATGGGGACTTGGGGCTTCCTATTCTACCATCTTGCTGATGTCACTCAAGTTAATTTCTTGTTATAAGATCTTATTCTGTCTGCTGAGAGGTGGAAAGTCTCCCCTCTACCTGTGGCAGAACCTACAAAGCAGGTGTTTATATAGTGATGGAGAGTTGGATTGGGGAGTAATTTTGGTGTTCATTTATCAAAGCAGGTCATTGTTCCAAGGATCCACTTGGAAAGTAAGAAGGTCCAAACTCTTTGGACCCCAAACAACCATCTGGGTCTTCGTTGTTTTAGCCAGGTCCCATCTGCATCTCAGCTTTCATCACTAACCCCCTGCCTCCCTCTCTTCTCAGGACCACAGGAATCTTCTTCAAGTCACCAAAGACATCGGTTATTCTCTTAATTATCATGATTACACCTTCCATTCCATATCCCCTCTTGTTCCTAAATAGTAGGAACTCTGCTCTTTCTGAAACATTTATCATAACTTCTTTAGTGGGATCTGATTCTTTGGACTTTTGGAAAACAAAAGCTATAAACTAGTAGGCAAAATCTCCTTTTCCTTCCTCCATTTATATATTCCTGTACTTCCCCTACCATTTCCTCACCCCCCCCCATTAATAGGTTATCTTAAAGAAAAAGCTAAGAAAGTCCTAAAATGCTTGGACTGAGAAAAAAAACAAATATTATCTTGCAAGAATTTTAGTCTTGCTCACAGTCTGTGGATAAATTCCTGTTGGGCAACAGGAAGTCTGCAACCGAACGCACAGCCTGACCACCTGCTCCACCCTTCAAGAGCTTTGGAGAAGGAAGGGCCAGAGCCAGCACAAGCTAGTTCATGGCAGAGACTGAGATGCTTCTACATAAGTGAGGAGTTTCTTCCTATAATGGAGAAGAAGCCTGCAGTGGGCAGGAAGAAAGGGGAAAACTATCTTCCAACTGAGAATTAAGTGGACTCAAGTGTGTAAGATCTTTTTGATTTGAATAAACAGGCCCCTGACTCTGATCTCTGTGGGCATTAGGTTGTCTCTAAAGGGCTAAAGCCTTGTTTGTTATAGGTGAGGAACAGCCTCAGGTCAATTGCTTTCTATTTGTGTC